GCGCGAATCTCTGTGAGATCGGTGGACTTTTCGTCGCGACGACTCGTCTGCGCGCGATGCGCAGTCGTGCAGCCCGCGGGCGCAAGAGATCGGTGGTCGAGATCGTGGTCGGAAGCGAAAGGGGGCGTCCAGATATCGCAGAGACATCTGGTGGCCCCCGGGCGACAACACTTCCGCGAGGCGAAAGCCGAGAACCACCTCGCGTCTGCTGCGTGTCGACCGGGCGGAGGACGGTCGATCGCATCCGTACGGCGACGCGCCGTCCACGCCGTCCACGACTGCGTCGACGGCACGTGGGAACTGGGGGCCGTAGGCTTCTGCGCGCGCGCGTCGTGGCTCGAAGGTGACACACCCGAGGTGACACACCCGAGGTGACACACCCGAGGTGACACACCCGAGGTGACACACCCGAGGTGACACACCCGAGGTGACACACCCGAGGTGACACACCCGAGGTGACACACCCGAGGTGATACGCCCGAGGAATCGCTGACGTCACCGAAAAAACCGCGTGAAAAATGCGCAATTTATTGTTGCTCCGCCGCCTTCGCACGCGAAACGCACGCGAGTCGGCAACGAGCGGAGCGGCACCGACCAGCGAATGCCAGCCGGATGGCGAAAACTATCTGGCTGGCATTCGCTACGGACGGAGACTCGATTCTCCGTCGCACCGATTCCGATCCCGTCGTCCTCTCTTCCGGGTGCGTGCGAGGAGAGTGCGTCCGCACGCACCGTCTCGGTCTGACACGTGCTAGCCGTCTGACAACTTTCCGCGTTCCGGTGTTGCTCCCAGACGTGTTTGCCCTGGGATTTTGTCTCACCGTGGAAACTCGGACGCTGACAACGGCGACGAACCGATTAAAATCATCAATATGGAATTCTCAATTTTTTCGTACGAATGCTCGGGGGGGGGGAAATTAAGGGGGAAATTAAGTTTCCTGATGCGATCTGGGATCGTCTCGGCACGTCGAGGAACAGACGAAACATGCCGCTTCAAAGATGACTCTTACCGTTCCCGAGTGAACCGAGTAGCGCGCGACTGAACCCAAGAGCGATTACAGGCGCGCGTGGAAGGGAAAATGAGGCGATGCCGCCTTTTCCCCTTTTCGGCGATTTCCCCTGGGATGGCCGAGAATCCCTCGATCGACAGTTCCCGCGGTTTGAAGGCGTTCGGAAATCGTCTCGTCCTGACGTTATTGCTGCGAATGAAGAATGAAGCTGGAGGAATGCGCTCTGGCGTCTTTCACGTTTCTAGAAAATTTAGTTGCAGGATTCCGAGCGACCACACTTGGGAAGTTTATTCGGATGCACGCCGTTTATGCATCATTTCCCAAAAAATATCGAGCGGTGCGGTGAACCCGGCTCGGAAATCGGGCGGAATCGGATTCCACGGGAGGCATTTGGATCCCGCGGATGGAATCCGCGTCCTTGCGAGAAGGGGGATGACGCCGTGGAGCGCCGATGGAGCGCCGTGGAGCGTCGATGGAGCGCCTCGCTTCTGTGGAGGCTCGGCGAACGAGACGCAGGGAACGCGAGTCGAGAGGGAAGGCCAAAGGGCCCGGGATCTCTCTTTGCCTTCACCGCCCTTTAAAAAAAAAGGCACGAGTACGATAATATGTAAATGTAATGATAAATGCGTGAAGATGCGACGGGCTCCCCTCCGAGTCTCTTCCGATCCAGCCGCTTCGGATGAGCTCGTTGCCGGATGAGCTCGTTGGCTTGCGTGGCTTCGTCCGGAGCTTTCTGGGCTCAACGCGATTGTCGATCAGACGAAGGAAGGGAAACTCAATTTTCAGTTGAGTTTCCCTCGGGTGGAAACTTGGTTGCGCCATTGGCCGAGAAGCCATGTCTCCATGCGCATTCATAAATCATTTTATATATATGTATTTCCTCCGATAACGTTTTATTAATAATTTTGTCGGCGTGCAATCGAGAACAAAATTTGCTTCGGTATTTATGGGAAAATAACTCGCAGCTCATCTCTTTGGGAAAAGTCGAGATATAAATTTACTGCAATTTTACGCGTAATTTTACTGTGCAGTTCATACTTTCGCTAAACAACCGAAAGCCTTTAAAAAAAAAATTATGGCTTCTAGACGGTAGCCGTTTTCGCACTCTTCGATCGCACTTCCGCAAAAAAAAAAGACGTGCTATTTTTGGAATGAGGGAGCGCGCAAAAAGCAAAGCCATCGCTTTCAGACTATTCCAAAAAGAAGTGGGAAAAGCGGAATTGAAAATCCTGACTGCTTCGGCATTCGTATCGGTGTCTGGATTTTTTTTTTTTTGGGGACGTTTTCGTGCAGAACTCATGAGATGAGGTTGAAACGGTGGTTAGCAGAGGCCGATGGATGTGGAGATGTATCGTCCGGACATCCCTGAATCAACACGATGCATTTCGTGCTGCGGAGAAGCACGAAATGCATCGTGTTGATCGCATCGAAGCACTCGGTCGAGGTGGTCCGCGGGTCCGCACTAAAATGGTTCGTGGAATTCGAAGCAGGGCTCGAATGGGTCTATCGTTGCGGGTCCTCCGAGGAGATTGAGGTGGAGGTTGAAGAAAGGGGAAGCCTTCGAGAATGGTTTTCACATCACTTCACGGAGTTGTATCTGGTCGTCGACTGAGACGGCCGGCTCCTTCTCGAAGGTCGATCGCATCTCCGAGGGTGGGTTTCATCGTTTTGATGTCCTTGAGGTCACGAAGGAGACGCTGATATGAGCACGAGCACGGTCGTTTCGGTCCTATTTATTGCAAGAAAGTGTCCAAATCTGGAAACGGACGTGATCGGGGGGATTTTTCCTTCTGATGTACGGATATAACTCGGACAAATGATGAATTTAATATCAGGACGTCGATGCGTCTAAGAGACGTTATTCTGCTCATGCGCCCCTCCTCCAAGGATACCGATTGCACCAACGTGGATGCTCGGAAACAGGACTGGGGCCTACGGACTGAGAAACAAAATCGAAGCGGCGATGTGCAGCTTTTGACTGCAAGCGGGAGATGGACGAGAGGAGCATTCACGAGGATGGCGACTTCCGTGCGGCGCGACTAGAGGAGAGATCGGTGGATGTCGGTAGGGGTCGTCGCGGTGGATGTCGGTAGGGGTCGTCGCGGTGGATGTCGGTGGGGGTCGTCGCGGTGGATGTCGGTGGGGGTCGTCGCGGTGGATGTCGGTGGGGGTCGTCGCGGTGGATGTCGGTAGGGGTCGTCGCGGTGGATGACGAGAGCTTTCGTTTTCTGTGGGCTCTGTTCCCGTCTCAGCTTCGCTTTCCCCTCTTTCCGTGGAGGCGAAAGGGAAGCAACCTTCTGCAAGAAAAAAGATGCGGATTCTTCTTCCCGCTCGTTTCGACGAGAATCGTCTCTGCGGCTTGACGGAGGGGCAATTCCCGTTAAAACGGAAAACCGGTTTTCCGAGCGGCAAGAGGAAAATTTTGCCTGGAAATTTTTTTTTTCCGAGCGTCGGGCGGATTCCTCTTTTCACAACTTCCACCGCGATTTTCTTCCTCGTTAACCAGAAACCTTCGCAACCGCCTCGTCAGAGTAATATTCTGAAAATTAATTTAATTATTGACTTTTAACCATAAAAATGTTTCACCTAGCGAACGGAAAACTCCGAGTTTCTTTTCGGGAAAATAGGCAGGAAATAGATTTCTCTTTCCATTGCGGAGTAGAGAAAAAATTCATTAATAATACATCAATGATACATTAATGATAAATGGCTTCCCTGAATTATTTCTTTTTCATCGGTTCAATGTCCCCAAGTTGGCTCTTTCGAGGTCCAAGGTCACTCGATTCACTTGCCCCGCCCCGCCCCGCCCCGCTTCGCCCCCAAGAGAAGCGTACACGTGGTTGTGGATGAGATTGATCCGCGCGATTCGCTTCGTCCGCTCGTCGAGAGAGGAGGGAAGAGCGAATGGCTGGAGTCTTTCACTTGCTTAAAGTCTTCTTTGTTCGGGTTCGACTGGCTTGGCGAGTTTCGCTGGCGAGACTGCGATCGGATCTTCCTACCGCGTTCGGTTTCCTTTCTCTCGTATTTAACCCGAGAAATGTATCATGTGCAATGATGGCCAGGGGGGGGGGGGGGGGGGGGGGGGGGGTATGCACGGAGGACACTTCTCAAAAGCGGGGAAGAAACGAGACTGACCAGTGGCCAGTGACCACTTACCACTGACCACTCCCCAGGGGTGGCAGAGGTCCCACGATTTCTCGTTCTAGAACTAGATCCGCAGATGCCATCAATGACTACGTCTCACCGTTGAAAAATATTTACGACGAGGCGCCGGACCCGTGGAACCGGCCGAGGCGCCGGACGCACTGCGACGCAGTTCCCGATCCGCGACGTGGCGAGGCACTCGCGCTCTGCTCGTACTCGCCGGGTGCTTCCGTGTCTAAGGTGTCCGTGACGTCACGTCCGTCGGGGGGCCGAGGGGAAGGAAACAGCATGGATGCGGCTGCAGAGGAGGACGGGGAAGGCGCACGGGGTGGGAATGCGGATGCCCAGCGGAACGAGCCCGTGGACCCGGCCGAGGTCGAGTCCTGGGTCAAGGGTCGGATCTTGGGGACCGGGGGGTTCGGGACCGTCACGCTCTGGAAGCAGAAGACCACGGGCCAGGTCATCGGTGAGTCGTAACTCTTCGACCGCGGGTCGTGGCAGACGTAAACAAAGGCCAAGGCGAAAGATAAGCGCGAACCCGTGCTCGAATCGAGTCGGTCTCGTCGGCCTGGGCTCAAATTCGGCGAGCTTCGTTTTATTTGCGTTATTAGAACGATGAATTATTCTCGAGGTTGGGCCTAGCTGTAACGTTAGGCCAACGTACGAACTTCAGTCTAGATGATTTATTCATACACATTATGTATTCCACGTGGCCAAAACTCAATTTATTTGACTGGTTAATCGATTCCATTTTGCTCAAATTTGGTACCTTCCTCAATTTTGAACCAGTACAGCTTCAATATGAAAGGTTGGTTTTCCACGAAGTCTCTCGGATGCTTTGATGCCGAAGTCTAGTTGAGGTGTCAAACTTCAAAGTACAAAGTATGGTGAAATATGTCATAACTAGGCCTATTGAGGAAAAGTTCACTTTGAAAAGTTTTTCATGGTCAATATTTTGTTGTAGTAAGTTCAGAAAAAGTCCAATTGCCTTTGAATCTAGGCAGTCTTCCCGATTGTTGAATCATCTTGCATCGTCTTGAAACTCGATTCTAGCTCTGAAAAAATGTCGCTGGGGATCGGACCAGCTCATGAGCGAGAAGCAGAAGCAGCGATGGGAGAAGGAAGTGGAGATCATGCTCCGTCTCTCGCATCCATGCGTGGTGTCCTGCATGCCCGTGCCAGAGGAACTGCAGGAGAATCTAGTCACTTCGCTGCCCATGCTCTGCATGGAGTGTTGCCGCAAGGGGGATCTCAGGAGAGTGAGTGCACGACTCCCGCGTCTCGACGGGACGAACTTCTGGGGCGGTACGGGTGTCTTTTCGGACCTCCGTGGACGCCGTCACGGTCCGAGATGTTACGGCTTCGAGTGTGGAATGGAATATTGCCTTCTGTGGCAGGGTGTGCATATTTAAGCCATAAGTGCTATCAGGTTTGGTCTAAAGCAAGGGTTTTTCATTAGGGGATGTGAGATACTTGAGTGGTAGGTGGGGTGCTCTGAACTTTTACTTTTATTATTTTTCAATCGATATTCCTCAAAGCCTGAGTCTGACTACTGCCAAGTAAGGTTTGTGCTATTGCTTTGTCTTTATTACATGGTAACTACACTGTATCATCAGCATCTCAGAATTTTCACTCATTATTGCCTCTTTTTTACTTGAAAATAACATTGTTTCAAGAGCAGTGGTCAGCAACTGAATATCTCAGGGAACTGGATGACAGAATTTTGCATGTTTTTGGGCAAATACTTATCAATGGTCAGAAGGGTGAGGATACATGTATTTTCATAATTTTGTATTTCTTTCAGTAAGTAAACTAATTCTGTTGCATCTGTTGGCTAAGTTCCCATGTTGTTAGGGTGGATAGGTGGGATTTTTGACCTGGTTATTGATTAATTTGGTAGTTTAGCATATTGAGGTATTCTTGTTGAAAAAAGGTTAAATCTGGCATTTTTACTCTAGCAGCTAAAAGCTATGTCCAACAAAGGTTGTTTTAAGAAAATAAATCGTTGTATTGAGACCTTTAATTTAAAAATTCAATTATTTGGTAGTTTTATTTGGTAATTTCCATAGCATCTCTGTGGTGTCTACACTAAAATTACCCTATGCCTTTCAGTTCTTGGGGAATCATATGAGCTGCATTTAGGCAGCTTCCTTTGTGGGACTCACCTTTTGTGGATTTCAATACTAAGACTGCTCTAATTAATGCAGAGAAACAGAAACTAGTTGGATGTTTCAGATATTTGCACCCAATCTGCACTATACCTCAGGCAACATATAAACCCACTTTTACTGAGCCTCACTTGCCAGCTCTATTTTTACTTTCCCAATTGAGATATTCACCTTTTATCTCTTTCATCTTCCTGATTTTGTTGCAAACGCTGCATTAGTTCACCATGAGCTGGAAGTACCCACGTTTGATGCAAGGGTTGAAGTTCTTTATGTATATCTGCCATTCACATGAGCTTTTGCAGAGTTTACCTTCATTTGTGCAATTTCATTGGCATTTCACATGGCATAACTGTAATTTTAGGCTGTAGTCTATGTTCAATCATTTAATGATAGCATAGCTTTCCTTACAGTAGGCCTTTTCCTTGGTAGGTCCTCAGTCAGCCAGGAAATTGCTGTGGACTACCGGAGCCCATGGTGCGCTCGTTGGTCGGGGACATCGCATCTGCCGTGGAATACCTCCACGGGAACCGCATCATTCACCGAGACCTCAAGCCGGAAAACATCGTCCTGCAGGATCTAGACGGTCTCATCGTGTACAAGCTCATCGATCTCGGATACGCCAAGGAGCTGGATCAGAGCAGCGCGTGTACGTCGTTCGTCGGCACCGTCCAGTACCTCGCGCCCGAGCTTTTCCTCAGTCGCAAGTACTCCTGCACCGTGGATTACTGGAGTTTGGGTCTGGTGACTCACGAAGCCATCACGGGGGTGCGGCCGTTCCTCCCCAACTTGAGTCCGGCTCATTGGTTGGTCCTTGTTGCCGGTCATTTATGCATTTCATACGCATGTTCGGTTTACTTTAACCCTTTGACTGTTATTAACACAGGTGGATGACTGATAAGTTTTCATATAAAAGTTGGCCCTGCTTGTCAAAAAAACAATAGTTTATGTAAGAAAATGTAATATCATGATAACTATTGAAGATAGCTGTTTCATGCAAAAATAGATGTAAATTAACCCAGAAACAGTGAATGTTCTGAGCCCAAGAACATACCCATGCTACCACTAGATAAGCCCGAGTATGTACTTGGGCAAACAGCCAAAGGGTTAATGCTGATTTTTTCTCAGTTTCTTTTGGTGCTCATTTTTGCATTCCAACATTTTTTGTCATGGCTTGTGCATCTTTTGAAGCTGAAATTGGAGTGCTTTCCTCTCTTCTTACCCATTCCATTATTTTCAAAGATGTAGTTTACGCCATATGATTGACGAGGAGGAAAAGGTGATAGAGATGGGAACTTGGGCTTGAATGGGATTCACTACATGTGTTACCATGAGAAAAGCTTCATATTATTCTAGTTAAATATATTTTGCTAGATTCACTGTTTGTTTCCCTCACCACCCCTCTCCCCTCCCTCTTCCTAATCAATGCCAAATTTCTTTTTGTATTAACTTTGGGATATGCCAACATTTGTGTTAAGTTAACATCCTGTGTGTATGATGCCTTTGGTTGTCCTTGCATCTCTTATGCAATCATCATTGGTACCGTCAGTAGATGTCAACTCAGTTGTGTTAGAGTTTTCCATGAGTTTTGGATTTTAAAACTGAAACATTAATTATTTTGACAAATTCTCTAAACTTTAGTCACCCTGTGCAGTCAGCCCACCAGTTTCCCAAGTCAGGCCTCAGGTTTTTGGCTAATTTCAAATGGCAGTTGCAGTTTGGTTCATGTTCCAGTCTTTGGCCTGAGTGAAGTTCTATGGTGCTCATATGGACTGTTCTACTACCTAAACCCCAACTGTACCTGCAATTGAAGTATAATTGGAACTGAACTGTAGTGAAATGAGTAAATCTGTTCATATGTCATTTCTGTAAAGTCAAGTTAAACATTTATTATCTTGAGTTTGCAGTTTGTGTGTAATTATTTGTTTTGGCTTCATTTGTGTTAACCAGGATGCCCTATGTGGAAAAGAAGTCTTCCAGTGACATCTGCATCTTCCAAGATGCTCAGGGAGAGGTCCAGTATTCCCACATTTTATTCAGACAAAATCACATCTCTAGGTGAGAGCTGGAAAGCCTTCTCTCTGAATGATTGAATGCCACCGCCGAGGCTTGGATCAAATTCTTGATTGTAAAAGTGGCTCTCCAATGTGTGAATAGAGATATTCTTGAGCCATTCATTTGGTGAAGAGTGAAATGAAAGTGAGTTTTCTTCATTGCGTTTTTTGCTCAGACCCTTGGAACACTGGATGGAGGAATGGTTGCGTCTCCTCCTGGAGTGGGACCCGCTGAAACGTGGTCGTCATCCTGGATCTGGCGATGTGGCTGTCTTCCCGCTTTTGAAGGACATGCTCACCAGGAAGGTGTGTCTTTTTCTGCTGTCATTTGTATTCCCTTGAGCAGGGGAAGTGGGCTGTCTTAAACTAAGTTGTGTGTTAAGGTGGTTTTGTTAGCATGTATCAAGAAGATTGTGTAAGTTTCTTTTTGAATTCTTGAATTCCGAAATTCTTGAAGAAAAATTGTGAGCTTCTAGATACCAGGGCAAAATGAGTTTGGTGCTGACATTATGAGAGTAGTGGTATGCCTGATATATCCCTTGAGGTTTTGGATCAATTGTCATGATCATTCAAGATATTAATCAAGTAACATAACTGAGGATTTTATGTATCTGTGGAATCAGATTTTTCAATGTTTTCCTATTGTATCTATTGCAAATCTTCACTATTCGGATTGAGATTTTTGGTGTTCCCAAAAACATTATGGAACTACTTTCAGGTTTAATTATTTATCTCTCTTTGAAGTGCATGTACACTCTCCCTTTTCCCTTCCTAACAGGTGTTGAGAGTGTTCTGCCTGCCCGAGTGTCGCTGGCTTTACTACGAAGTGGAATCACCCTTACCGTCGGTCGAGGACATCCAGGGTTATGTGGAGAGGGACATGGGGATCCCCATCCCCCTCCAGCTTCTCTTGCTCCCTGAAGGCTCTACACCAGATTCAAGGAAAGGGGTCATGCAGCTCTGGGCTCCCCCCGTTAGTTTCCTCTCCCTCGATCTAGTGTTAAATTCTCAAATTCTACTTAAATTCTCAAATCCTCTTGTACAAAGAATTGCAAGAATTTATTTACAGCATGTCGAGTCCACCACACTGAACTTCAGAAGTTATGAAAGCGACATAACCTTATCTAAGAACATCTGAATCCACCCCAGAGCGGAGTGGTTCAAATTTGGCATTCATTTGGTCTGTCCTAGTTAGTGCTTGCTGGTGTAACCAATAGAATTCATATTTTGATTGTTTTCATGAGAGAAATCATTTAAAGGAATTTCTTAAGTGTAAGTCTACAAATGTTAGTATTTTCAAGAAAAACAGGATATTGCAGCCAAATTAGTTCTCTTCTAATAGCTAGGGATGAAATGGATGAAATAAATAGAAATTAAGCCCTGAATGCACAATCCTCATTTAAGGGAGATAAAGGAGTCTTTGAGCTAAAGAGCTCTTTTTCCTCCCTAGGAACCCATATATTCTTAAAGGACCATTAACTAAAGGAGGCGTTCAGGCCTAATAATTTATTTTTCTGCGACTTCCATTTGGCACATTGAGAGCTGAGTCTGTTCCATGCTGTTGCTCATGGATTAGGATTACATCACCCCCTTTGTAACAAGTACTTTGAAGGCTAAGATTACATGCCATTTGCCCATTTCAGTACTGGTAACTGCAGTTGGGAAAAGTAAATAAATTTCTATGCTGTAGCAATTAAGGGTAAACCTCAGCCAACCTTGTGAAGCAGTTCTCAGGTAAAGTATTTGCATGTGGTTCCCATTTCTGGGTGTGAATTTCAGTTCCTGTTTCTGGAAGTCATTTTCCATAGTTCAGTTGTGGTGTTTTCTTCCTGAATATTGAAGATGTACTGCAATAAAATAAATTTAAAAAATAGATATAGAAAATTCAATACAAATATGAAAAAGCCAGAAAATTAAGAAAGATTGAAGGCTATACTATCCAGGAAAGGAAACATAAATATGTCCCTCATTTGAGATGTAATCTTTTTAGCTTCAACTTTGCAGGATCGTATATTAGGCTTACATTTTTATATTTCAGTGATACCTGAATCTTAAAACATGCATGAAATGGAATTTAGAGCCCCAGTTCCACTGCAGATAATATCATTCAAAAAATGGCTCCAATTGCTTAATTGTTGATTATTTTGATTCTCATCATTAATTTTCTAAAATCACTTGATTCAAATCAGCCAGCACTGAATGAATGAGAGAAATTACAGCTTCAATCTGTTCTTGTTCACAGGCAAAAAGAGTAAAAATTGTTTTGGATTTGTTAATATGTATTTTTTATTCACAGGCATGTGGTATGTGTATGTTTCAGGAGGAGGAGGAGTGGTATGTGTTCATCTATGACCTGTCATTGGTTGGGAAAGGGAAGGGGAAGGAGAAGGAGTTGCCGGTGTTGCGACCGTCTGTCCCACCCATGGTGGAGGAGATGCTCAAGGACCCAAAGATGAGCAAGGAGAGGAACTTGCAAAAACGCACCTGGGCCCAGGCGGTCTTTCTCGCCCAGAGTGAAGATCGTCTCTTCCATACCATGCTTACTGGTCTCAAGGCTCTTGTGTATGATCTCTTTCTTCTTTGAAGCCTTGTGGTCAGTTAAGGGATTTAGCTTGACACATTGTGCTAGTTCTGTGATTTTCAACCGCTGGTATTAATGCCAATACATGTTTATTGGTTTTTGCTGGTTCTCATAAAACTTGGAAGCCTCTGTAGGAAGAAATCTAGCTGTGTAGACTAGCCATGTTCTAATTTCAATTTTCTTGCATAAAAACAACCAATTGCCCCTATAGTAGTTGTTGGTACAGTTTTGGTCTTGGATTGGTAATTTGGCACAGTTGGCTGAATAGCTCTGTGCTGGTTCATTGTTTGTCTCAAGTTGACCTGGTCTTCTGTTTCATCTGCCACTCTTAGAATGGACTGTAAAACTACTAACATTTAACAGTATATAATTGATTGGTGAAATATCCAAAGAAAATCTTTTACTGAAACGAGCAAAATTTAACAGTATTTCTTTGTTAAGTGTCCCTTGTGTCACCTTGAGTGCCATGTGTATTGCAATTGATATTGCAACTTTCCAGTGCTAATGCATATAAATTCTGTCTTTGATTTTTTGTCTGATTAGAAGTTGCTTATAATTGAATGGACAGTTAAAGTATTTTCAAAGCCAATAGGACTAAAGCAAGAATGTTTCATGTTAGGATGGAGCTGGAGAGAAAGAGGGAGAAGCTGCTCCATGAGGTGGAGAAGGTAAGCATCGAGCTGGCATGCTTGGAATCCAGGAATGACCTCTTCCAGGAATCGCTGGCACTGGATCTCCGCAAACATGGTGACAACACTGCCTTGCTCAGGAGACTCGGTACCAGCTTCAGTTTTTCCTCTGACTTCTACAGTTATTGCTTACTAACCATTCTATTCTTGATTGTTTTTTGTTTCCTGCCTCTTTCACAATTTTATTTCAATGTAAATGTCTGGAGATAGATTGTTGAAGAGTCAGAGGGGCAATGTGTCACTTCATTCATTTACAATTCTCCCTTTTTTTAAATAATATTCCCTGAGGAGCCCCCCAGCCCCCCATCCATCAATATAGTGGCATTAATTTTGCCAGTATATTTGCTCCACATAGTTTATTGAAGGAATTTTGCATTTATTGATTTATATGCAATAGCTTGAAATGATTGGATGCCTTACTAGGATCCCCCCATGTGGTGACCCAGTGGCGAAAGAGTGGGGAGGTTGTTCAAGGCAAGGTGTTTGTGCTGGGTGCTCGGGTGCGTGCCGTGGAGGTCCAGGTGGATGCCATCATTAAGCAGAGCCTCACCATCCTCCAGGCGCCCTTACTCAGACTCCACGATGCAGAAACTCTCACTGGCTTGTGAGCTGCTTCTTATTGTCTCTGTATCTTTGAATTGCAGAATTGTCCATCATGATAACCAAAAGTATGGTTAATGATGGTTTTGATGATAGGAAGTGGGGAATGTCACATCCTCATAGATCTCACCATCTTGATTGTCACTGATCATTGAAAATTATTATTCATCAAAACTTTTCTCATAATTTCATTAATCTGTTATACTAATGACAATTAGTGATTATGCATTCATCAGCAAAAAAAAGTCACACCAAGAAGGAGTTGAGTGATCTTCACGGAATTTGATCATGCTTGTATTAGCGTATCATGAAATTGATGCTAGTTTCAAGGTCGTAGGTTGCATATTTGCAGGGAAAACTTATCAAGCTTCCCAATTCAAATGGGGTCAGAAGGGTCGTACTTATCACCCACGAAGAACATCTAGAAGGAGTTTATTAATGAAATGCGAAACAGGAACTTCTACTGATGTTTTGTACAATGAAGCAAAGTCTTTTCAACTTGCCTAAAACTGAAAACTTGCCTAACGCCCCAAGGGATGTGGAATTGGGTGAACTGATCAGACTGGTTTCCTTTTCTGCTTCCCTCTGTTCACTCCGCAAAGCGGAGTGAACGGAGGGAAGCGGAGTGAACTCTTCCCTCCACTTTGCTTCAATCATTTATCTTTCGTCTTTAAAGCCATGCCAGGACCACATCCACAAAGACAGTTTCGCCAATTTCACCAGTTTTATTGAAGTCGGTTAGTTGGCATGATGAAGGTAGGCCATAGCATGCATCAGGTTGTGCATCGGCTAAGAGTAATCTACCCACTGGCGTTGCTGGACGCAGTATCAGAATGGAGCTAACCATAAATGGAAACTAGGATCAGGACCCCTCGCATCCCGATGTCCAGGGATGACCTGTATTTCAGGATGTAGATTCTCTGAGACTGAATCGCTTCTACCCATGTTCACGGAAGGTACTGGTAGTGGGGACAGGTAGTCAGACAGGTCATCTGGACTGCAGTCCCGGCTGGATTGCATGCCGGTTCACAGTCCTAAAAGAAGTCCTTTGGCCCATCCCCAGCAACCATCATGCCAGATAACCGACCTCGATCGAACTGGTGAAGTTGACAAAACTGCCTTTGTGGACATGGCCCTGGCATGGCTTTTAAAGACAAAAGATAACCAATTGAAGCAAAACAGAGTGGATGGAGGAAAGCAGAAAAGGAAACTGACCTGGTCAGTGCAGTTGCCCTATTCCCCATCCATCGTGGCATTGGGCTAGCTTGGCAAGTTTTCCCTGCATTGCTTCATCCTAGGACCTTGAAATTTTTCTCCATTGTACTAAACATCAGTAGAAGTTCCTGTTTCACATTTCATTAATAAACTCCTTCTAGATGTCCTTTTTGGGCAATAAGTACGACCCTTCTGACCTCATTTAAATTGGGATGTTTGCTAAGTTTTCTATGTGAATATTCAACTTATAACCTTGAAACTAACATCAATTACATGAAACACTAATACGAGTATGTTTACCAAATTTCATGAAGATCATTCAACTCCTTCTTGATGCGACTCTTTTTTGGCAATGAGTATATAATAAACCATTCTCCAATAACAGAAGTTGTCGTGGACTGTTCCATTCCATACCATGAAAAAAACCTTTGGTAGTCAACCAGGATCAGAGTAAAAAATTATTTCAATCTTCTATCTTGGTAAATCCTGAAGGCTGTAATATCAACAGGAAAGCTTCTCACATCTGCTTTTCCTGTTTGGGCTTGCGGTTTCTATCTGTGACTTTTCTGCGTAATGTGTGCTGGAGAATAGATCTGCTGTAGAACTACTTGCAAGGGGTGAACCAAAGGAATCCTCCATGAGGGAAAGGTTCTGGAATGAAAGGCTTCATGGTATGGAATGACAATATGCAGTGGTGAAATTTGAGTTCCATGCTGCTGCTTTTCTTGAAACATGAAGGGAAGCATAAAGTAATGTGGAAATAGGTGCTCTTGGGGTCGATTCAGAATTATTGTTCAAGAGTAACTGCTGAAGGTGAGTAAAATGTCATGGCTCTCTTTCCATTTGAGTGTCATTGGTATTGTCTGTCATACATCCTAATGCACATGTAATCAGATTCCCTGAGGTCAGGTTTGTTGTAGCATTATTTTCTCCAATGAAAATTAGTGCACTCTGGGAGTTTAGGTTCATTTAAAAACCAGGGGATTCTAGGCAGCAGCCTTTGGAGGCTTATAGTGTTGGCATGAAGTGGGATGGAGTAAAAGAGAAAAGTAGTGCAATTTTGTCACCTTTCAGTTGCATTCTGTTCACATGTTACTTCTTAAGGATGGCCTGTTTTCATGGCTGAAGTTATGCTTGCTCAAAAAAATTGTGTAAGGAGTGAAAGGCTCCCACGTCTAACAGTGCTTTGATGTTTATGCCCACCATTACTTCCCTAATGTTGCTGTATCTGTCAAGAATATTATACATAACTAACCCTTTGTGCAGTGTTGTGGAAGCAGAAGGAGCTTATGATGCATTGAGGCATCGGGTAAGGGAAGGAGGCTGTGGAATTGGGAGTGAGAAGGAGAACCTGGAGATGGTGCGCATCATCTATCACATGTTCAAACGTCGGGATCTCCTGCACAAGGACTTCTTCTCATTCCTCATGTTTGTATCCTCTCTCTTCTCTCTCATTATGTGCTCATTCTTTAAGTTAGACTTGCTATGAAATAGGAAGTTTCTGGCTAATGGCAAAGAGCTTTTGTGCAAAGTATGGCAAGGCTCGCAACTGGGCTGAAGACCATTTTAATGGAGTCATGCTGCAAAAAATCATTAAAATTGAGAAGTTGATCTGAATGGTTGTCTCTGAAATATGTTGAATTACTTTTATTCAAAAGGTGTCATTTTGCTGGAGGACTCTGGATTTTGTGCATGATAGTTTTGGTTTGAATTTCTTCATATCTAATTGCCTGATATTCCAATATCTACTAGAACAAGTGACAATGTAAGACCATCTCCTTTGGCCCTCTTGAACTTCTAATGGTGTATGTGCAGGGATGGACTTGAAGCTCGAGGAGAGGTGGTGCGCCTGGGAAACCCCTTGGTGAATGCCTTAGGAGACATGCAGACCATCGGCCAGGATCTCCTCCAGTGCCAGATTCAGCGCCAGAACGACATCTGGACCATTGTCTCCACCCCTGTATGAGTCCTTTTAGCTCTCCTCATGACTGATGTTTCACTGGCAGATGAGGGGTTTGGCCTTTTCAGCAACATTTTGTCTTGACTGGTAAGGTGAGAGGAACACAAGTTCCAAATGAATTACACTACCTTAGGGTGCTTGTCACATTTTCATGAATGGAGTCATTGCAAGGAAATACAGTATGCCTTTCAGTAGAGATAAAACAATATTGAATTTTGGTCGATATCCAGTGTACCAATAATTCAGATATTGGAAAAGGACTGAAACTGATATCTATATCTACATTTATATTCACACATTCAGGCATTAATGCCTCCTCTTTTAAGCTTTATTTGGGACCAGGTCTGATGATGAAAGCTAGAGGTGCACCAGTGGTGCACCTCATGCTTTTGCCATTTCTCCACTAGTGAGAAGAAATGTCTTGTTCATGCTGAAGCCAGGCTCTTCAATGTGGATTTTAAAGCATTACATTGGATTTGCATGAAGCGTTTTTTTTCCTATGTACCATCATAGAACTTGCAAGAAGGTGGAACAGCAATTCTTTTTTTTTTTTTCAAAGTAGCACTCAGTTAAGAAAATTTCAAAAATGTTTATGATCCCTCTTTCTAACCTCTGATGGACACCCAGAGGGACATGACTGACATTGTTAGCACATCATCAGATAATTTGCCATGCAGATGAAATGTGAACATAACTGCTTTTCAGAAAAATTTTAAAGGCAATTAATCATATTTATTTTATTACAGAAGTATCTTATCAACAAATGTATTCATGTAATACATTATGGTATAAATATTTAAATGTAAGTTATGGCATTATAAATATTTAAAATAAATTATGGCTGCACCAACGAATTGACAAACACAGATATTGGCCTCTGGTGTTGCAGCATTGACGGCATGGCCATCGGTCAGATTGGAAGCTGTTGATGCTGAAGCCTGGAGGAGAGCAAAATGAAATAAAAAACTTTGAGTGTTTGAACGCAGATTGGTGCTGGCCCTCCTGTTTTGCTGAAATTGATAGGATTATACTGGGAGTTCTTGATTTGACTGACATCGTTTCAATATAACGTCGCCAACAAATACCCCATATAAGTTGTGGCATTCCTATAAAACATAATAAATTGAAGACTTTCTGTATTTCAGCCCGATTGTAGGAACTGGTGGAGGAAAATTGCAGTAATGACTGTGAAATCATTGCACCTCCTTTTATCCTGTGCATTAAGGAGTGGTGCCATTAAGTGCTCTTATCAGCAATAGGTAACCAGCTAATCACTGATGATTGCAGATGGTTGGACAGGCGGGAAAGGTGTAAAAGTGGTCTCTGTTGTTTTCAGGAGAATCATTGATAAGTATCACAAGCTTCCAAATGAAATAGGCCTATTTGAATTCGTATGCGATTTCATGTTTCTTTCTCAATCGAGTATAGACCATAATCGGCTCTGGCTCCTGCTCCAGTCGATGGGTATGAGTTCAAAATGTACCATCATTCTACTGGTCAAATGTGGCCATTGGCACAGTCCTAACATGAATATAAGGATTATGCAATTCTTGAAAGTCAGTGGTTCCAAATGGAACCTGTGGACACGAAAGAGTTGAAATCAGACTATTGTCCAGTGAGTTTTTACCAAAGTATTGGGATCCATCTAGGCCTGGTTTCTTCGCATGAACACAAGCGATGTCTATTTTCGCAGAAAGCAAAGAGTTGGCTATGATAGTGGCATTAGGCTGAGTTAAGTGGATGACACTTCCCATCCCTCTGTTAGATGACTGGGTAATAAGCTTATGTCCCATGACTGGGTGGTCTGGGCTCAAACCTAGCCAAGTCAAGTGTATATTTCCTAGTTCAAGCGCCAGTGTGCTTGCAAAGGGAGTACCCGAGCACAGAGCGCTCCCATCTCTAGATGTGGGATGTTGAGGAACTGGCAGTGAAGATCAAATCCAGGTGGTACATCCCAGATTATTATGGTGGTTAAACCAAATGCAAAATGATTTTAGACCTCCATCGCAGTTGATTATGCCTACTTCACGTGCTTGTAACAGGTCACAAGTTGTCAGTGGGAGACATTGACTGTCAAATATGGGTGGAGCTTCAGTGCCTTGCAGCCACTCCCAATCCAAAGGGGGAAAAAGGTTTACAATTTTCAGCAGCCTAATACTTACATTTTTTAAACTAAAACTTGTAATTTAGGCATTTTCAACCTTCTGCATTGTTTTTTACTTGAGTCAGAAATTTTTTCATTTGACACTTGTGCAGGAGGAATGTCCCATGAACACATGTCAGAGTCAAGTGAAATGTTGTCTAATACAAATTGAAAACACTAACGAGAAAAATGATAGAATATCTATCATTCACTATACATACTTATGTTTGGCATACTTCAGGTATTGTTTTAATATCAGTTATTGGCAGGTCATATATCTATTCTGGCCAATATATCAGCTTCACCTAATATTGGCCAATACCCATAACTGATAAAATATTGTTGCATCTCTAACTTTTGGGCTACTGATAAAGAATGATGAATCCTATTCATGATCCCAGTTCCAGCACTCTCCCAGCCAAACATTGCAAAATTGAAAGGTAACACTTACATATATATTCATGTTTGGTGATTTGGGATCTTAAAGAGCAGCATGCAAGTTTGATTGTCTACAGCTTGACATTATTGACTTGGATTTCCTCAAAAAATTTTCCTTAGCAAAATTGATTGTCAATTTTCTAAAGGTATCAATATGAGAAAAGTGACCTTAAGAAATGATTGTGGTTCTCTGGCAGATGATGGGGAGTGTGGGGGGGGCATGGATGGATGGAGAATCTTTGCTTCCATGGGAGAGCTTGCCCCACGAAAGCCTTCTGTCCTTGGCCAGCCGCATGGAGCATGGACTCAAGGACTCCTCTGTTGTAGTCCAGGAGAACACTGAGCTTCGATGCAGGTAACCGTATAGCTTGCCTTTCCTTGCAGTTCCCACATGGCTACAAAACTGAAATATATACGTGTGGTTCTTTGAAAAATGTAGGCATTCAAAATGTGTGAGAAGAATCTCATTTGGCAGTTGAGTATCAGGGTAGAATGATGCTCATGAAGGAACTCATTATAAGTAGTAGGTACTTTTGGTGTATGGAAAGTGAGATTCATTTGCAAATTTTAAATTCTACTATCAGTGCACTTCTCACTCCTCAGGCATTTAGAACAATATGTAATCTCTGTGAATGCCAATTTTGCCACAATCCATTGCCTGAGCAGTGGGAAGTGCACTGCTTATAGAATGACAAATTCACAAACAATTCTCATTACTTTCTGGACATCCAAAGTACATCCCCATCTACCAGTGGGGAATTTTTTTTTTTTAGGATGTGGGACAGCCATCCCCCCCTGGCAGCCCTTAAAAGTGCCTATTGCCCCCACCTATCTCAAGCCCCCCCCTCCCTTTACATTTCCCTTGGCAACCCTTTGGCTCATAAGCAAAAATATACCACTGCCACCTAATTATCCATAGGTGTAGTACATGGAGTCCCACTCATAAATAACTTTAATGTCATGAGGACTCAGGATTCAAGTGCATCATAATGTTATGAGGCATTGTGGTAATATAATATATATTGCTTGTGGTAATTGAAGCTCTCTGTATCTCCCACTGATGCATAAGCAGCAAGGAGATTCTATAAGCAGGATAATTTCATTTTTAAGGATGGGAAGCTTTGAGTATTGGAAGGAGGATGTGTTTCTACTATTCTTGCTTGCCTTGTGCCATTTAGACTCCTACTTTTGATCTTTTCTTTGCCTTTTGGATGCTTGAAAGTATTTCTCTTGCTTTTGGATTGCATTCTTGATTTGTGTTCATATCTGACCCATCATCCCGAAGAAAGTATTTGGTATTTTCTTGTTGAGATCTAGGTATAATGAAAAACAGTTGCAGCTTTGTGTTTGGGCAAGTTCAGGTGGTAATGTTTCAATTCCTTGTTGAATTTTTGAAGATGGTGACTCCATCTCTTGCCCTCATTGAATTGAATTGAATATTATGCTATATGTCATGTAACATCCTTACCCCTTTTACAGCTTCAGTTGCTTGTATGAGAGAGAAACAATTTTATCACATTACATTGGCACTGGAGGTGTGAACATGTGAAATTTCAGCATCCATGTTGAGGGAGACCTAGAATATATTGGAATGGAATTTGGTTATCATAGGATGCAGGAGACTTGGAACCAGGTGCTCAAGGACCAGCGGGAGATCCGCAAGGAGCAGGAGGAATGGGACCTCAACCTCCAGTCCCTTGGTGCCAAGTGATGGTACCATCAGTGCCAAAAGATAACCTTGAGTCATATTTTCATGGCTGTCTATGATAGTCTTATACAAGCATGACAGCCCATACCTGGGCAAGTTTCAGCCAATTAATAACCAAAGAGTATACACCGCTTACCTACAGTATCTGTGGTGTTGAAGGTCTTCCTGTGTTCAATCTGAGGGACAGTGTGGTTTCTCTTGTTTTTCCAAATGCCTTTACAGTTAGAATGGCCTTGAGTACTCAGTGTGGTCCTTGGTTTTTGCACCTCCCCTAGATGCGTTGCTGCCTCACATCATTCAGCTTGCATGCCAGATGTGTAGGTCGTTTTTTGGGAAAGGTGGTTCGTGATAAAGGTTGGTGTTAAGAGTATAAGAATTAGGCCTAACTAAAGGTTGATATTAGGCTGGTGGCTTCAATGTACTCATTAGAAGTTATCATATACTTCATGAGAAAAATATGGGTTTTATATAAATAGCTATGATGCACCTGGGAAGCACTTATTTTTGCCCCTATTTTTTGTGGGCACATGAGACTGAATTTTTTGGTACTAATGGCATAATCTTTCCCATTGATAGTTGAAATTTTAATTAGGTAAAACCTTGCTTATTTCTCTCTCTCAATCAGAAGCCCTTTTTGGTCTTTGGTTGATTTTGTCTTCTTTTCTGAAGGATCTAAAATATTCTGTAGTTGCCCTTTAGCGAGCTTTAAAGCAGTCACAAGTATATTGCTGCATTAACAGTGCATATCCGAGCCAAGCTGGAATTGTTGTGATACTGGTATGCTCAGTACAGAAGTCTGGAAGCAATTGATCATTTTTTTCATTTTGCTTGATTTGTAGTCTTAAATTGGGTGGAGCATATAAATAAACCTCTCATATGGTCAGTCACATATCTTGATTGTTACCGACTGGATGCCATTTTAGAAAATAGTGAGTTCAAGACATTGCCATGTGGACCTCTTTTGTGCTTCCTAGGTAGGGCTATGGGTTTGGTTTTGAAAGATGATTGCCTCTTAGGAAAAGCAATATTTTGGCTAACAGACACATCTTACCATAAGTGAGTTGATAATATTGTATGACTTTATTAGAGTTGTTCCTTATAACATCAAAATAAATTTTTATTGTGCAGGATTCAAAATTGTTGGAAGAAAATCCTAGAAGTATACTGACTGTGAAACCTATCATACCCTAATACTATCCATGTGGGGGGGTTTTCTTGTGTTCCACCTATTGCACTACTTCCTGGGTGTGAGATAATGGCTGCTTCTGTTGTAACTCAAGGTGGTTGGCCATTGTCACTGCATGGTGAGAGCATTGCTGACAAATGTTTTAAAATGATAATGTTTCAGCCAGGTGCACTTTAGCTATTTTAAATAGGCAGTTCTACTATATTTGCTCTGTGATGAACAAATTTCCTGAATAGCTTTGGTTCTCTTGACTTACACTCCAAATTTCCTCATTTCCTTCTTCTCATGTCATTCACTTCATATTACATGCCAGAGTTCATCTGTCATTACCATCACCTCTTTCCAATTACATTTTGCCCTTTTTTCATTATCCCCTTTTCCATCCTCATGTTCCATCACCTAGTGCATATGCATATGATGGGCAGGCTCATTCCCTCTTTCGTTTTACTCCCCGTGACATTTTTCAGTGCACACCCTTGCGTTCTTCAGAAGCTGCAACTATCCTGACTGTGAAGTGAGAAACCTGAACTGAACTATGCAATAAAATAGACAAATAAACTTGTTATTGTTTGGAACTCAGGAAGGGTTTGCAGAAAGAGTGCAGGGATGCTTCTACTTAGCACTCCCACTGTTCTGGCAGCTCCATGCACCATTTGAAAATGAGTTTAATTTTTGGCATGATGGCAATTTTGGGAATTTCAGATGTATATTTTCCATACAGCTCAGCTCATTGCATCTCCCTTATCATGAATGTTACAAGATTAGTCATGTTTGATTGGTATAATCAGAGAAGATGAAGGTATCTTTCTCCCCCTCATGTCAATGCAAAGGATCTCTCATGGCTGACTCTCACTGAGTCCAGTTGGAAAAGTATCCTATATTAACATCTTGTGAGTGAGCCAAATGTTCAGACTGACTGGCAGAAAAATGTGATTGTTCTGTCTTACTTTTCTGTCACTTTCATCTGTTGAGTTTGCATCATCAGTAGACTTGGCTGATCCATTTAGGATTGATGAGGTCCCAAGTGGCAGCCTGGACTTGAATGAAAGCCTTCATAGGAGATGTTTATAGTGCCATTCCATTGCAGAATGCTGTCCTGTTTCTGGTCAGTGACTCAGAATTTCCTTGAGCGCAATTGTTATGATCCTACAAGGATCCAGCATCACAGCTTTGGGAAATATTCAGTGAAGAGTATGCGTTTCCTACAGGAATTCAATGTGAAGTGTTGTAGTGCAATTAAGAATTTAAGTTGATGAGTTTCTGGCAGTATGTACTGGTACTCAATCCAATGCTAGTGAATCCCCATGTCAGTGATTTTAGAGCATACCTGTCCTGAATCACCAAATTGGGAAGTTAAGGTTTCCCTGGTTGATTATTGCATGAGAATGTGGATGAATTGTGGGCTGAAGGAGGTTGGGACATCCAGTTCTGGGCAATTATGCAATTATGTTTTCAATTGATGTTGGTAGTGCCAAAAAATAGTTAACAACCCCTACCTTTCTCTACCTGTTTCTCATTGTAGGCCTGTTTGCTGTTGTTACTCATGGCATTCATAAATATTCCTGTTACAGATGTTGTGCATAATAGCTGAGTGAAGAAAATGCTATGGAGGAATGCCACATTGATATTGAGGACCCCTCCAATTTGTCTCTCCATCAGAAAGGTGCTTCTCCTGAAGCATCTGATGGGATACTTCCAAATGATGGTGTAGATGGGGACTTATACACCATGAGCAATTTAGACAAGGTCAGAAATGTAGCACCGAAGAAGCTGAAAAAGAATGAATCTCAACTGCGGTCATACCATACATTTCTGGAAGGCATGCATAAGCAAGTTGTGTCTGATCACTCAGATGAGGAGGCTGATCATGAAGCAACAGATGACCTTAACACAAGTGGTGGTGTTGACAGGAATGACAGTGGGTTCATTGTGGAAGAGAACAGCAGCAGTGCTACCAAGAAGGCAAGCAGAGGAAAGTCTCTTTTCAACACAGAGCCAGTCTTATGCTGTGACATTCTAAACAAGCAGGTTGATCCTGACAGCTTTAATCAGAAGTCAGATGATGATGAAGTGGCTTATGACCTTAACCCTAATGTTGGTGTTGGCCAAGATGACAGTGGGTTCATTATGGAAAAAGAAGGGAGCAGCATGATGATGAAATCAGTTGAAGGCAAGCCTCTGTTGATGTCTAACCCCCTTATATCATCTAGAGAGATTTTGAACCAGCTGGTTGCATATAACAGTTCTAATGAAGAGCCTTTTGTTGATTTGCAAATAAACCTCTTAGAGGAATCTGATACTCAGATTCTGATTAGCTTTGTTGAGGAGTCTGATTCTCAGTTGCAACCCCAGCCATCAAGCAAAGACTTATCATCATCCAGCATATACCCTTCCATCAACATGAACAGTGATCCTGGCTCAGCTCCTCTTATTCCTGAATGGGAAGCCTCTCATCCAGATGATATGATAGAAAGACTCAAGAAGAAGAGGAGAAAGAAGAGGAAGCTATTGGAGGAGATACATGACCATAATGGTACTAATGGAAGCATCTCTAAGGCCATGAGTGAATCAACAGAATCTCAGAATAAAAGGAAAGTGAACTCATTGGAGACTGAGTTTCATATAAGTTCACCCTTCAGATTGCTAGAAGTAGAGTCTGTCAACTTGAGTCAGCAAAGCCAGAACTTGAAAGACAATCATCACATGAAGTCCAGTCTTCCTGGGATTTCTTCAATAATGGAGTGTGTAGAGGCAGAACATTTGGAGGACAGTGACCAAAGTCCAGTTCGTGTTAGGAGCGTATGTCAGGCAGGGGATGTGGAGTATGTTTTTCAGCACCAGGATCTGAGGCTTTCTTCTGCTGGAACAGGGCAGTGTGATACTGAAGACACAGGAGACAAGAACCAATGCCCCAGTCTTGCAGCACACTCTCCAACAACCACCCCATATGAGGATGAGGCAACTGAAGGCCATGACCAAAGTGAGAGTCATGCAGTGTCTGTTTCAAGGACCCAGCAAGGTGAGACTGAGAACTTGCACAACACTCACAGGGGTCTACCTTGCTCATCTCCGATGACCATGTACGAGGAAGGAGACATGGAATTTTCCAGCCCTGTCCCAAGTCTTATGCAGCCCACTTCACAAAGTTTCTATAGGAAGGCCAAAAACTTGGGTATTATGGAACTTTCCTCAAGGGATGGGCCGTCTCAAATTCAGGATGAAGAATACAGGTATGATGTCCCATGTGTTGTATTTCTTTCTCCAAGAACTGAACGGTGTGAGGCTGAGGAGATGAATTATTCTGATGAACACTTGGACCTAGAGGAGCCTTCATCAAAAACCAGCTGGGATAAAACCAAAAACTCTGAATGTGTTCACCTTAACAGAGTTGTTTCCCCTAGCAATGGGCGATTGAGCCTCAATCCAAAGGATGTGTCACTTTCGACTTTAAAGGAAAAGCTCCAAGCTGTTGAAGACCCTTGGTTTCAGTCACACTTGCAGATCACAGCTCCAGTTTATGAGATGTATGAGATCAGGACTGGTGTATCAGTTGCAAAAGAGATCGGTAATTTCCTCCATCTCTTAGAAACCAAGACAGTTGAGACTGACCTGGACCGCATGTGTGCCATTGATTGTGAGCTGGCTGATCTTAACTGCCAGAAAGGGGATGTTAATGCCCTATCCTATATCTTGGAAGGAGACAAGGCCTGGCAGAGGGTGGTCAGTTTTGTGAATAGACAGACCTATGGGGTCTTGAATTTGATGGGTGACATTACAAGGCTTGATGGCTTAAAACTGAAATTTGAGAAAATGAAAGGCTTGATTGAAGGTGAAGATTTAGTCACCTTTGTGGTGAGCATGACTCGGATCACCAGTGGCCAACACTGTGATGACCTAGTTGATCGAATCCAACACTACATAAAGATTGCTCGGACACTCATACGCAGGAAATACTTTCCACCTCGTTATGAACTGGATGTTGACCAACAGATGCCAGATATGTGCTCTGTAGCCTTCCAAGTGAAATACCTGACAGTTTCAGAGAAAGCTCTCATGGCCCAGACTGTCCCATCAAGGATGGCTATGGAAATGCTCCAGAGGTTTTTGGAAAGAAAGTCCATTATCATGGGCAAAGCAGAGAACACATTATTGGAAAAGTATTGGAGGAATGAGAGGATGTCAGAAAGTAATCGCATCTTGGCAGCAGGTGTGCTTAAAGCACTTGTTGGTCATAGTATGTTTGATGAATTTGGTCAATTTGCTGAAGTGGAAACCAGAAAATTGAAGGGGTAAGTGAAAGACCTTATAAGTACATGATGAAGAACCAAGCAGCTGCAGGAGAGTTTTGGTTGCTTAAAATATTTATTTTTTTGTATTGTCATTCAATTTCTTTACAAGTTATTTTGAAGGATTCTCTTTATAAGGAATTAAATAATAATTGCTCCTTAATCTTCATTGAGAGGTTTTATATAAATCCCACCTTGTGATAAGATGCCTACAAGGCATCCTATCATTTTTGGGTAGGTTTTCAGTCTTTCATCAAACTTAGTGTTCATGTACAGAATTTATGGACAATCATGTCTGGCCTTTGAGGTTGAGATATTGGTTGCTTTAACAGTTGCCTGCTGGCCATCAATATGTGTGCAGTGTCTTAATCCTTTGGACTTAAGCGAAAAAACTGAGAAAAGCTCTATTTTGACTTTGAATGTATTCCTTCTTGGTTGAAAATTTGCCATTGAATGTCACTTGTAATTCTGATTGATATGAAAAATCATTTGGCTGTTTCAGCCTAAAGATATGATGCTTCTTCAGCTGCTCTTAGGAGGTAGGGTCCAATTATTTTCAGCTGACCAAATATTTCTGGGCATATGAGAGAAACCTAATGTCTAAGCTGGTTTTCAGAGCTTTTTATTTTCCTTAATGAATGTAGATGAGACACCATGAGTTTGGCTAGAGCTGGAACACCAAGGTGATGTTTGAGCAACAAGTCTAGTTCAGTGCCTTCTCTTTTGGTCATCAGGGACAGCAATGATTTTCCCTTCAAATATATGAAATGAATGATGAATTAGGTCTGGAAAACAAAAGTGGGCTACAAGACTAGTCAAGTGCCTTCATGTTTAATGTCATCATGAACAACAGCAAATCTCATGGTGCTTTTTTTTATATTTGGTGTGTCCTTTTTTTCTATAATGATGTTTTGTTGATTGGTTGTCTTCTGAATATGTTCTTTTGTTGCATTTCTAGTCATTGTTATGTCACTTTTAGTTGCAATGCCAAAAGGGAAGAGTCGATTGCAAAAGAGAGCAGGGATGCCCAGTGTTGAGTAATCTCCTCTGTTTGACCCTAATTAAGTCTTGCTTCAATTCAGACTATAAACTTAGAACTTTCTTGTTCTTCAAGAATGATGTATCTTAGTCATTGCATTTATATAAGTGCTTATGCTGGTCACTCGTTTTTGATGTGTTTATGAACCCTCTACCTCTATGCATGGGTACTCAACACCCAAAGGGATATTTGCCATTTCTATTCAAGAGTTTTGCAGCTCTGGCTTGTTATTC